CCAGGAAAATAACCTCTCACTCAACGTCAACAAAACAAAGGAGATGATCGTGGACTTCAGGAAACAGCAGAGGGTGCACCCCCCTATCCACATCGACGGGACCGCAGTGGAGAAGGTGGAAAGCTTCAAGTTCCTTGGCGTACACTTCACTGACAAGCTGAAATGGTCCAGCCACACAGACAGTGTGGTGAAGAAGGCGCAACAGAGATTTTAACAAAGTAAATTTGAGGACTAGGCTGCCAAAGTTCTATCAACATATCGACTGTTGTACTAGCGCTGCCAAAATCCTCGACCATTGCTATTCGAACTTCCGGGATGGTTATAAGGCCCTCTCCTGCCCTCCTTTCGGCAAATCTGACCACGACTCCATTTTGCTCCTCCCTTCCTATAGGCAGAAACTCAAACAGGAAATACCCATGCTAAGGACTATCCAACGCTGGTCTGACCAATCGGAATCCACGCTTCAAGATTGTTTTGATCACACGGACTGGGATATGTTCCGGGTAGCTTCCGAAAATAATTTAGACAAATACACTGAAATGGTGACTGAGTTTATCAGGAAGTGTATAGGTGATGTTGTGCCCACTGTGACTATTAAGACTTACCCTAACCAGAAACCGTGGATAGACGGCAGCATTTTCACCAATCTGAAAGCGCGAACCACCGCATTCAACCATGGCAAGGTAACTGGGAATATGGCAGAATACAAACAGTGTAGCTACTCACTCCGCAAGGCAATTAAACTGGCAAAACATCTGTATAGAGACAAAGTGGAGTAGCAATTCAACGGCTCAAACATGAGACGTACAGTGGGGAAAAAAAGTATTTAGTCAGTCACCAATTGTGCAAGTTCTCCCACTTAAAAAGATGAGAGAGGCCTGTAATTTTCATCATAGGTACACGTCAACTTTGACAGACAAAATGAGAAAAAAAAATCAAGAAAATCACATTGTAGGATTTTTAATGAATTTATTTGCAAATTATGGTGGAAAATAAGTAATTGGTCAATAACAAAAGTTTCTCAATACTTTGTTATATACCCTTTGTTGGCAATGACACAGGTCAAACGATTTCTGTAAGTCTTCACAAGGTTTTCACACACTGTTGCTGGTATTTTGGCCCATTCCTCCATGCAGATCTCCTCTAGAGCAGTGATGTTTTGGGGATGTCGCTGGGCAACACAGACTTTCAACTCCCGCCAAAGATTTTCTATGGGGTTGAGATCTGGAGACTGGCTAGGCCACTCCAGGACCTTGAAATGCTTCTTACGAAGCCACTCCTTCGTTGCCCGGGCGGTGTGTTTGGGATCATTGTCATGCTGAAAGACCCAGCCACGTTTCATCTTCAATGCCCTTGCTGATGGAAGGAGGTTTTCACTCAAAATCTCACGATATATGGTCCCATTCATTCTTTCCTTTACACGGATCAGTCGTCCTGGTCCCTTTGCAGAAAAACAGCCCCAAAGCATGATGTTTCCACTCCCATGCTTCACAGTAGGTATGGTGTTCTTTGGATGCAACTCAGCATTCTTTGTCCTCCAAACACGACGAGTTGAGTTTTTACCAAAAAGTTCTATTTTGGTTTCATCTGACCATATGACATTCTCCCAATCCTCTTCTGGATCATCCAAATGCACTCTAGCAAACTTCAGACGGGCCTGGACATGTACTGGCTTAAGCAGGGGGACACGTCTGGCACTGCAGGATTTGAGTCCCTGGCGGCGTAGTGTGTTACTGATGGTAGGCTTTGTTACTTTGGTCCCAGCTCTCTGCAGGTCATTCACTAGGTCCCCCTGTGTGGTTCTGGGATTTTTGCTCACCGTTCTTGTGATCATTTTGACCCCACGGGGTGAGATCTTGCGTGGAGCCCCAGATCGAGGGAGATTATCAGTGGTCTTGTTTGTCTTCCATTTCCTAATAATTGCTCTCACAGTTGATTTCTTCAAACCAAGCTGCTTACCTATTGCAGATTCAGTCTTCCCAGCCTGGTGCAGGTCTACAATTTTGTTTCTGGTGTCCTTTGACAGCTCTTTGGTCTTGGCCATAGTGGAGTTTGGAGTGTGACTGTTTGAGGTTGTGGACAGGTGTCTTTTATACTGATAACAAGTTCAAACAGGTGCCATTAATGCAGGGTAACGAGTGGAGGACAGAGGAGCCTCTTAAATAAGAAGTTACAGGTCTGTGAGAGCCAGAAATCTTGCTTGTTTGTAGGTGACCAAATACTTATTTTCCACCATAATTTGCAAATAAATTCATTAAAAATCCTACAATGTGATTTTCTGGAGAAAAAAATTCTCAATTTGTCTGTCATAGTTGACGTGTACCTATGATGAAAATGACAGGCCTCTCTCATCTTTTTAAGTGGGAGAACTTGCACAATTGGTGGCTGACTAAATACTTTTTTTCCCCACTGTATGTGACGGGACCGCAGTGGAGAAGGTGGAAAGCTTCAAGTTCCTTGGCGTACACATCACCGACAAACTGAAATGGTCCACCCACGCAGACAGTGTGGTGAAGAAGGCGCAACAGAGCCTCTTCAACCTTAGGAGGCTGAAGAAATTCGGCTTGGCACCTAAAACCCTCACAAACTTTTACAGACGCACAATTGAGAGCATCCTGTCGGGCTGTATCGCCGCCTGGTACGGCAACTGCACCGCCCACAACCGCAGGGCTCTCCAGAAGGTGGTGCGGTCTGCCCAACGCATTATCGGGGCAAACTACCCACCCTCCAAGACACATACAGCACCCGATGTCACAGGAAGGCCAAAAAGATCATCAAGGACATCAACCACCCGAGCCACTGCCTGTTCACCCCGCTATCATCCAGAAGGCGAGGTCAGTACAGGTGCATCAAAGCTGGGACCGAGAGAATGAAAAACAGCTTCTATCTCAAGGCCATCAGACTGTTAAATAGCCATCACTAGCACATTAGAGGCTGCTGCTGCCTATTGAAATCACTGGCCACTTTAAGAAATGGAACACTAGTCACTTTAATAATGTTCACATATCTTGCACTACTCATCTCATATGTATATACTGCATTATATTCTATAATATTCTACTGTATCTTAGTCCATGCCGCTCTGTCATTGCTTGTCCATATATGTATATTTTCTTAAATTCCATTCCTTACTAGTTTTGTGTGTATTGGGTATATGTTGTGAAATTGTTAGATATTACTTGTTAGATATTACTGCACTGTCGGAGCTGGAAGCACAAGCATTTCGCTACACCCGCTATAACATCTGCTAAACACGTGTATGTGACAAATACAATTTGATTTGATTTATTTAAAAGTTCATTTGTGGAATGTATTTCCTTCTTAATGTGTTTGAGCCAATCAGTTGTGTTGTGACAAGGTAGGGGGGTATACAGAAGATAGCCCTATTTAGTAAAATACCAAGTCCATATAATGGCAAGAACAGCTCAAATAAGCAAAGAGAAACGACAGTCCATCATTACTTTAAGACAAGAAGGTCAGTCAGTACGGAACATTTCAAGAACTTTGAACGTTTCTTCAAGTGCAGTCGCAAAAACCATCAAGCGCTGATAAAGAAACTGGCTCTCATGAGGACCACCACAGGAATGGAAGACCCAGAGTTACCTCTGCTGCAGAGGATAAGTTCATTAGAGTTACCAGCCTCAGAAATGGCATCCCAAATAAATACTTCACAGAGTTCAAGTCACAGACACATCTCAACATCAACTGTTCAGAGGAGACTGTGTGAATCAGGCCTTCATAGTCGAATTGCTGCAAAGAATCCACTACTAAAGGACACCAATGAGAAGAAGAGACTTGCTTGGGCCAAGAAACACGAGCAATGGATATTAGACCGGTGGAAATGTGTCCTTTTGTCTGGAATCCAAATTGGAGATTTTTGGTTCCAACTGTCATGCCTTTGTGAGATGCGGTGTGGGTGAATGGATGATCTCTGCATGTGTATTTCCCACCGTAAAGCATGGAAGAGGAGGTGTTATGGTGTGGGGGTGCTTTGCTGGTGACGCTGTCTGTGATTTATTTAGAATTCAAGGCACACTTAACCAGCATGGCTACCACAGCATTCTGCAGCGATACACCATCCCATCTGGTTTGGGCTTAGTGAGACTATAATTTGTTTTTCAACAGGACAATGACCCAAAACATCTCTAGGCTGTGTAAGGGCTATTTGACCAAGAAGGAGAGTGATGGAGTGCTACATCAGTTGACCTGGCCTCCACAATCCCCTGACCTCAACCCAATTGAGATGGTTTGGGATGAGTCAGACCGCAGAGAGTGAAGGAAAAGCAGCCAACAAGTGCTCAGCATATGTGGGAACTCCTTCAAGACTGTTGGAAAAGCATTCCAGGTGAAGCTGGTTGAGAGAATACCAAGGGTGTGCAAAGCTGTCATCAAGGCAAAGGGTGGCTATTTGAAGAATGTTAAATATAAAACATATTTTGATTCGTTTAACAGTTTTCTGGTGACTACATGATTCCATATGTGTTATTTCATATTTTTGATGTCTTCACTATTATTCTACAAAGTAGAACATAGTAAAAATAAAGAAAAACCAATGAAGGAGTAACTGTTCTAAAACTTTTGACCAGTAGTTTACTTCAGGTTAATAGCTATAGGCCAGATGGCACAATAAGCTTTCAACATGAATATTTTATTATAGGTAAGATAGGCATCCACGTTCACTAGTGAAAGGCAATCTTCATAAACACTGAGATGGATAGGTGAGTGACACGTCACACAGATGGAAACTGAAATAGCTTTAATAATAGGCCTTATAATTGCCTTGAGATGTGTATGCCTGTATTAATTAATTAACACACCCGCGTCTCAAATGGCTACCTAATTCCCTGCATAGTGCACTACTTTTGGCCAAAGTAGCGGCACTATATAGAGAATGTGTGCCATTTGAGACCAGCCCTAGTGTTTTCATAGACCTGTGAGTATAAGGCCTACCCATAGTGTGGGCCGTCTTGTCGTGGGAGCTGGTCCAGGACTTTGTGTCGTCAAAAGCAGAAGTGACAGCTGGTGATGGCGTCTGAGTGAACCCTCAGCACCTTGACGGGGATCTGAATAGGCATATGGGGAATCAAGCCCCATCTCACATCTTCATTACACCATGATGGGGATCTGAGAGGCTGGGGAATCAAGCCCCATCTCACATCTTCATTACACCATGATGGGGATCTGAAGAGGCTGGGGAATCAAGCCCCATCTCACATCTTCATTACAAAACACCATGATGGGATCTGAAGGAGGCATGGGGAATCAAGCCCCTCTCACATCTTCATTACAACCCATGATGGGGATCTGAAAGGCATGGGGAATCAAGCCCCATCTCACATCTTCATTACACCATGATGGGGATCTGAAGAGGCATGGGGAATCAAGCCCCATCTCACATCTTCATTACACCATGATGGGGATCTGAAGAGGCATGGGGAATCAAGCCCCATCTCACATCTTCATTACAACCACGATGGGGATCTGAAGAGCATGGGGAATCAAGCCCCATCTCACATCTTCATTACACCATGTGGGGATCTGAAGAGGCATGGGGAATCAAGCCCCATCTCACATCTTCATTACACCATGATGGGGATCTGAAGAGGCATGGGGAATCAAGCCCCATCTCACATCTTCATTACACCATGATGGGGATCTGAAGAGGCATGGGGAATCAAGCCCCATCTCACATCTTCATTACACCATGATGGGGATCTGAAGAGGCATGGGGAATCAAGCCCATCTCACATCTTCATTACACCATGATGGGGATCTGAAGTAGCATGGGGAATCAAGCCCCATCTCACATCTTCATTACAACCACGATGGGGATCTGAAGAGGCATGGGGAATCAAGCCCCATCTCACATCTTCATTACACCATGATGGGGATCTGAAGAGGCATGGGGAATCAAGCCCCATCTCACATCTTCATTACACCATGATGGGGATCTGAAGAGGCATTGGGGAATCAAGCCCCATCTCACATCTTCATTACACCATGATGGGGATCTGAAGAGGCATGGGGAATCAAGCCCCATCTCACATCTTCATTACACCATGATGGGGTTCTGAAGAGGCATGGGGAATCAAGCCCCATCTCACATCTTCATTACACCATGATGGGGATTCTGAAGAGGCATGGGGAATCAAGCCCCATCTCACATCTTCATTACACACCATGATGGGGATCTGAAGAGGCATGGGGAATCAAGCCCCATCTCACATCTTCATTACACCATGATGGGGATTCTGAAGAGGCATGGGGAATCAAGCCCCATCTCACATCTTCATTACACCATGATGGGGTTCTGAAGAGGCATGGGGAATCAAGCCCCATCTCACATCTTCATTACACCATGATGGGGATCTGAAGAGGCATGGGGAATCAAGCCCCATCTCACATCTTCATTACACCATGATGGGGATCTGAAGAGGCATGGGGAATCAAGCCCCATCTCACATCTTCATTACACCATGATGGGTTCTGAAGAGGCATGGGGAATCAAGCCCCATCTCACATCTTCATTACACCATGATGGGGATCTGAAGAGGCATGGGGAATCAAGCCCCATCACATCTTCATTACAACCATGATGGGGTTCTGAAGAGGCATGGGGAATCAAGCCCCATCTCACATCTTCATTACAACCATGACGGGGATCTGAAGAGGCATGGGGTAATCAAGGCCCCATCTCACATCTTCATACACCATGATGGGGATCTGAAGAGGCATGGGGAATCAAGCCCCATCTCACATCTTCATTACACCATGATGGGGATCTGAAGAGGCATGGGGAATCAAGCCCCATCTCACATCTTCATTACACCATGATGGGGATCTGAAGAGGCATGGGGAATCAAGGCCCCATCTCACATCTTCATTACACCATGATGGGGATCTGAAGAGGCATGGGGAATCAAGCCCCATCTCACATCTTCATTACACCATGATGGGGATCTGAAGAGGCATGGGGAATCAAGCCCCATCTCACATCTTCATTACAACCATGATGGGGATCTGAAGAGGCATGGGTAATCAAGCCCCATCTCACATCTTCATTACACCATGATGGGGATCTGAAGAGGCATGGGGAATCAAGCCCCATCTCACATCTTCATTACACCCATGATGGGGATCTGAAGAGGCATGGGGAATCAAGCCCCCATCTCACATCTTCATTACACCATGATGGGGATCTGAGAGGCATGGGGAATCAAGCCCCATCTCACATCTTCATTACACCATGATGGGGATCTGAAGAGGCATGGGTAATCAAGCCCCATCTCACATCTTCATTACACCATGATGGGGATCTGAAGAGGCATGGGGAATCAAGCCCCATCTCACATCTTCATTACACCATGATGGGGATCTGAAGAGGCATGGGGAATCAAGCCCCATCTCACATCTTCATTACACCCATGATGGGGATCTGAAGAGGCATGGGGAATCAAGCCCCATCTCACATCTTCATTACACATAGTAATAGTATGTGGGCTAAATTATGTTTCCCTGGCACTGTTTCACATGCTAACGTTTTAGCAATTTTGGCACAAATCCCTTTCAAGTCATGGGACTGATATTAGCATCTTTCGCGCATCATGTCCAAATCATCCGAAAGTATTTAAAAGTATGAAAATGTATCCACTCACTACCTGTAAGTCGCTCTGGATAAGAGCGTCTGCTAAAATGACTCAAATGTAAATGTAAAATGTGAAGTTCAACAAAGTCACTTAAATATGTTTTCAACGCGACTAAAGCATTGCAGTAATGATAATCTGAATGCCCATAATTTAATACCATAGCCGGGGTCTGGTCTTTCTGTTCTAAAATGGCACCTCAGTGAATGACCCATCTGTTGAGATGTCTTTGTCATAATTTATATGTTTGGCCACCTGCCAGATTTATAGCAGGCAGGCATTTCATGCAGTGTTTCCTAGCCTGCTCCCAGATCTGTTTGTGCTTTTGCCAACTCATTGTCAAGACAAGCAAAAGGACAAGAATACCTGGGATAGTACAAAAGTAGTCCCACTGGCTATCATAAGGTGGATGCACCAATTTGTAAGTTGCTCTGGATAAGAGCCATCATTCATGTTATTGTCAGGGTTATGACACAGGTGCAATGCAATCAATCAATTATGTATATGTGGCTAGCTGTTAGCTTGACTTGCTAACGTTAACTATTAGTTTACCAATCATTCATTGAAGTTTGTAGTTTTAAAACAGTTCACATGGAAGTAGCTGCACACTATTACAGCACATAAACCTAGCTAGCTAACTGCTCTAGAATTGAGTTATCAACATGAACACTATTCAACTCATTCCCTTTCTAGCCAGCTAGCTAACTGCTACCTGGGCAAGGGCCTGATGCTCCCACACCGAGACACTCATCTTCTCCACATCGTTCTCCTCCTTCTCCTCATCAATGGTCTCATCAAGTGACAAAGGGTCAATATTTCTCCTCGTCATTTTTTTTCCCCCAGGAAACGAAATGTGTTTCTCTATTGTTCAGGAATTTCAATGTTTTCTTTTTCGCTAAAGTAGCTAGCCGGTCAGAGTAACCAATGTTGTCCAAAGTTAGCTCTGCCGTTCAGTGCGTTCCCATAGCAACGGTGATGCATCTGGAGCGCTGAGTTTGGTGTGACTGAGATGAACTGCAGTGGGAAATGTGCAGGCTACACACACACTGACAGGGAAGAGTTTCTTTGGAATTAAAATATTTTCATTGTCATTTTAAAGTAAGAAAAAGCATACCGTACCAGTTAAAAGTTTGGACACACCTACTCATTGCAGGGTTTTTCTTTATTTTTTACTATGTTCTACTTTGTAGAATAATAGTGAAGACATCAAAACTATGAAATAACACACATGGAATCATGTAGTAACCAACAAAGTGTTAAACAAATCAAAATATATTTGAGATTTGAGATTCTTCAAATAGCCACCCTTTGCCTTGATGACAGCTTTGCACACTCTTGGTATTCTCTCAACCAGCTTCACCTGGAATGCTTTTCCAACAGTCTTGAAGGAATTCCCACATATGCTGAGCACTTGTTGGCTGCTTTTCCTTCACCCTGCGGTCCGACTCATCCCAAACCATCTCAATTGGGTTGAGGTCGGGGGATTGTGGAGGCCAGGTCTTCTGATGCAGCACTCCATCACTCTCCTTCTTGGTAAAACAGTCCTTACACAGCCTGGAGGTGTTTTGGGTCATTGTCCTGTTGAAAAACAAATGATAGTCCCACTAAGCCCAAACCAGATGGTGTATCACTGCAGAATGCTGTGGTAGCCATGCTGGTTAAGTGTGCCTTGAATTCTAAATAAAATCACAGTGTCACCAGCAAAGCACCTCCACACCTCCTCCTCCATGCTTTACGGTGGGAAATACACATGCAGAGATAATCCGTTCACCCACACTGCATCTCACAAAGACACGGCGGTTGGAACAAAAAATCTCCAATTTGGACTCCAGACCAAAGGACAGATTTCCATCGGTCTAATGTTCATTGCTCGTGTTTCTTGGCCCAAGCAAGTCTCTTCGTATTGGAGGTGTCCTTTAGTAGTGGATTATTTGCAGCAATTCGACCATGAAGGCCTGATTCACACAGTTACTTGAACTCTGTGAAGCATTTATTTGGGATGCAATTTCTGAGGTTGGTAACTAATTAACTTATCCTCTGCAGCAGAGGTAACTCTGGGTCTTCCATTCCTGTGGCGGTCCTCATGAGAGCCAGTTTCATCATAGCGCTTGATGGTTTTTGCGACTGCATTTGAAGAAATTTTCAAAGTTCTTGAAATGTTCCATATTGACTGACCTTCATGTCTTAAAGTAATGATGGACTGTTGTTTCTCTTTGCTTATTGGAGCTGTTCTTTCCATAACATGGCCTCTTCAACCTCAGGAGGCTAAAGAAATTTGGCTTGGCACCTAAAACCCACAACCGCAGGGCTCTCCAGAGGGTGGTGCGGTCTGCCGAACGCATTCCCGGGGGCAAACTACCCGCCCTCCAGGACACCTACAGCACCCGATGTCACAGGAAGGCCAAAAAGATAATCAAGGACGTCAACCACCCGAGCCACTGCCTGTTCACCCTGCTATCATCCAGAAGGCGAGGTCAGTACAGGTGCATCAAAGCTGGGACCGAGAGAATGAAAAACAGCTTCTATCTCAAGGCCATCAGACTGTTAAACAGCCATCACTAGCACATTAGAGGCTGCTGCCTATAGACATAGACCAGAAATCACTGGACACTTTAAGAAATGGAACACGTTACATATCTTGCATTACTCATCTCATATGTATATACTGTCTTCTATACTATTCTACTGTATCTTAGTCTCATCCATATATGTAGTTTTAATTCATTCCTTACTTAGATTTGTGTGTATTGGGTATATGTTGTGAATTTTCTAGATATTACTTGTTAGATATTACTGCACTGTCGGAGCTAGAAGCACAAGCATTTCGCTACGCCCACTATAACATCTGCTAAACACGTGTATGTGACAAATATAATTGGATTTGATTTTGGTCTTTTACCAAATAGGGCTATCTTCTGTATATCACCCCTACAACTGATTGGCTCAAACGCATTAAGAAGGAAAAAATCCCACAAATTAACTTTTAATTTGGACTCATCAGACCAAAGGACAGATTTCCACCGGTCTAATGTCCATTGCTCGTGTTTCTTGGCCCAAGCAAGTCTCTTCTTCTTATTGGTGTCCTTTAGTAGTGGTTTCTTTGTAGCAATTCGACCATGAAGGCCTGATTCACGCAGTCTCCTCTGAACAGTTGATGTTGAGATGTGTCTGTTACTTGAACTCTGTGAAGCATTTATTTGGGCTGCAATTTCTGAGGCTGGTAACTCTAATGAACTTATCCTCTGCAGCAGAGGTAACTCTGGGTCTTCCTTTCCTGTGGCGGTCCTCATGAGAGCCAGTTTCATCATAGCGCTTTATGGTTTTTTGCGACTGCACTTGAAGAAACTTTCAATGTTCTTGAAATTTTCCGGATTGACTGACCTTCATGTGTTAAAGAAATGATGGACTGTCGTTTCTCTTTGCTTATTTGAGCTGTTCTTGCCATAATATGGACTTGGTCTTTTACCAAATAGGGCTATCTTCTGTATACCACCCCTAACTTGTCACAACACAACTGATTGGCTGAAATTCATTAAGAAGGAAAAAAATTCCACAAATTAACTTTTAATAAGGCCACACCTGTTAATTGAAATAAATTCCAGGTGACTACCTCATGAAGCTGGTTGAGAGAATGCCAAGAGTGTCCAAAGCAGTCATCAAGGCAAAGGGTGGCTATTTGAAGAATCTCAAATATAAAATATATTTTGATTTTTTAAACACTTTTTTGGTTAATACATGATTCCATATGTATTATTTCATAGTTTTGAGGTCTTCACTATCTCTACAATGTAAAAAATAGTACAAATAAAGAAAAACCCTTGAATGAGTAGGTGTGTCCAAACGTTTGACTGGTAGTGTATATACAGTGCATTCGGAAAGTATTCAGACCCCTTGACTTTTCCACATTCTGTTAACTTGGAGCCTTATTCTAAAATGGATTAAATTGTTTTATCCCCTTATCAATATACACAGAATACGCCATAATGACAAAGAAAATACAGTTTTTTAGGAAATTTTGCAAATGTATTAAAAATAGAACGGAAATATAACATATACATAAGTATTCAGACCCTTTACTCAGTACTTTCTTGAAGCACCTTTGTCAGCGATTACAGCCTCGAGTCTTCTTGGGTATGACGCTACAAGCTTGGCACACCTGTATTTGGAGAGTTTCTCCCATTCTTCTCTGCAGATCCTCTCAAGCTCTGTCAGGTTGGATGGGGAGCGTCGCTGCACAGCTATTTTCAGGTCTCTCCAGAGATGTTAGATCGGGTTCAAGTCCGGGCTCTGGCTGGGCCACTCAAGGACATTCAGAGACTTGTCCCGAAGCCACTCCTGCGTTTTCTTGGCTGTGTGCTTAGGGTTGTTGTTCTGTTGGAAGGTGAACCTTCGCCCCAGTCTGAGGTCCTGAGCGCTCTGGAGCAGGTTTTCATCAAGGATCTCTCTGTACTTTGCTCTGTAAATTTTTCCCTCGATCCTGACTAGTCTCTCAGTCCCTGCCACTGAAACACATCCCCACAGCATGATGCTGCCACCACCATGCTTCACCGTAGGGATAATGCCAGGTTTCCTCCAGACGTGACGCTTGGCATTCAGGACAAAGAGTTCAATCTTGGTTTCATCAGACCAGAGAATCTTGTTTCTCATGGTCAGAGTCCTTTAGGTGCCTTTTGGCAAACTCCAAGCAGGCTGTCATGTGCCTTTTACTGAGGAGTGGCTTCCGTCTGGCCACTCTACCATAAAGGCCTGATTGGTGGAGTGCTGCAGAGATGGTTGTCCTTCTGGAGGTTCTCCCATCTCCACAGAGGAACTTTGGAGCTCTGTCAGAGTGACCATCAGGTTCTTGGTCACCTCCCTGACCAAGGCCCTTCTCCTCCGATTGCTCAGTTTGGCTGGGCGGCCAGCTCTAGGAAGAGTCTTGGTGGTTCCAAACTTCTTCATTTAAGAATGATGGAGGCCACTGTGTTCTTGGGGACCTTCAATGCTGCAGACATTTTTTTGGTACCCTTCCCCAAATATGTGCCTCGACACAATCCTGTCTCGGAGCTCTACAGACAATTCCTTTGATCTCATGGCTTGGTGTTTGCTCTGACATGCACTGTCAACTGTGCGATCTTATATAGACAGGTGCGTGCCTTTCCAGATCATGTCCAATCAATTGAATGATCAATGGAAACAGGATGCACCTGAGCTCAATTTCAAGTCTCATAGCAAAGGGTCTGAATACTTCTGTAAATAAGGTATTTCTTTATGTTTAATACATTTGCAGAAATGTCTAAAAACCTGTTTTCACTTTGTCATTATGGGGTATTGTGTGTAGATTGATGAGGGAAAAAAATCATTTAATCAATTTTAGAATAAGGCTGTAACGTAACAAAATGTGGAAAAAGTCAAGGGGTCTGAATACTTTCTGAATGCACTAGCTTAACTTTATATCCATGCAAAGATACATTATGGGATCATAACAGATCCAAAGCCCTGTCACCAGACTTGGCACATCACAGACAATCTGGACTGTCATGATTATAATGCAGAGACCGATTACAACAACAACAAAAAATCTACTTTTTATTGATTGACAGAGGATGGCAAAAATTCATGATAACTCAACATATCAGCCCAAGACATTGATCAGCAAAAACTCACATCTCTATTTAGAGTAAGACCCTCTTTCATCACCATAGGTACAGGGCTATTGGAATTCCTAAATGCCATACAGAATGATCCCTGACTCCAGTCTCCGGTATCTATCCTCATGGAGGACATGGTGGATCCCGCTGTCTGTCGGATCACAGGTTCACCGCATATTCTTCCCACGGATGCTCTTCAACCTGATGAGATGGGAGAGGAAGGATCAATTAATATCATTAATGTAATGACACGGTCATAATATTACAATATGTTTTAATGACATGGGTCAATTGTTTTTGGCCTGGTTATAATTGTTTTGTACCTGATTATAACCGTTTTGGACTATAATAATAATAATAATAATAATAATAATATGCCATTTAGCAGACGCTTTTATCCAAAGCGACTTACAGTCATGCGTGCATAATTTGTTTTGTGTATGGGTGGTCCCGGGGATCGAACCCACTACCCTGGCGTTACAAGCGCCGTGCTCTACCAGCTGAGCTACAGAGGACTACAATTAATGTCATTAAAAAGCACCTTAAAAAGCCATTCAGATCAAAACATTGTGAGACAATAATAAAGGTATGTGTTAGAGCAGGCCTATGCAGGGTCTGTATTATTAAGAGTTTTTCAACCCCTCCTGAAATGTCATGTGTTTGTCTACATCAGCTGAATGAAACAAGGACCATGCCCTCTGACCTTCTGAGCAGCTCTTCTGTTGATACGCCACCTCCCTCCTCCTGGCCGTTCCCGTCACTCCCCTCTGAGCTGCTGTCTGATGACTCCTCCTTCCTACCGCTCTTCTTCTGCTTGCCTTTGTGCTTGTGCCTCTTGTGCTTCTTCTTCTGCTGTTGACAACAACAACAACAACAACGGCAGAGAGGGAGAGTCAAGAGGACATACTGACAGACAGTGAATGGCGTTTCTGGCACTTCCACCAAAACAAAGACCAAACATGTTTGGTGCAATGGAGATACTCTTGAATAACTAACTTAGCCAGTCATAGAGCAGCGTGTCAGAGAGAGACAGACAGACAAGACATCGTAGTCAATTTTTCCTGGGTTTCATTTGTTTTCCCCCGGCCGTACCTTTTTGTCCTTCTTGTGCTTGCCGTGTTTCTTGGCTTGTACTTCTCCTTACACTTCTTCTTGTGTTTGTCGTTCTTTAGACAGAGGGAGTTGGGGCCGGACGGCTCTCTGCTGCTGAATAGACAAGCAGAGATGGAGAGATTCCAAATCATCTACATAAACTCTCAAGATGGGGCTGTGACAGAACCGGTTGAATGCTTTTATGCGAACAACCAAGAATTGAATGGATGTTAAGGAATCATGAATGTCTGTTCAAACCGGGCCGGGGCAAATACAAGAATTTGATCGCGTTACTGGTAAGGGACTCACTCAATGTAGAGGAGGGGGGGGCAGTCGAGGTCCAAACTCCTCCTCTTCCATTTCCTGGTCCTGAGGGGGCGGGGCAGCAGCAGGACCACTGGGGCATTTGAACATAACGTCTAAAAAAAGAAAAAACAGAGAGTTAAAACCACGTCCATTTTTGTCCACTGTCCTCGAGGCCCTTTCATCATTGTCCACTACCCAAATAGTTAAAACCACGGTCCATTTTGTCCACTGTCCTCGAGGCCTTTCATCATTGTCCACTACCCAAATAGTTAAAAACCACGTCCATTTTGTCCACTGTTCTCGAGGCCTTTCATCATTGTCCACTACCCAAATAGTTTAAAAACCACGTCCATTTTGTCCACTGTCACCGAGGCCTTTATCATGTCTACTACCCAAATAGTTAAAACCACGTCCATTTTGTCCACGGTCCTCGAGGCCTTTCATTTATTGGGCCCCTACCCCAAAAAGTTAAAAAACCCCGTCCATTTTTTTTCCACTGTCACCCAGGCCTTTTATCATTGGGCCACTACCCAAAAGTTAAAACCACGTCCCCTTTTTTTCCCCGTCCTTTGAGGGCCTTTTATGTTTTCCTATCTCCCAAAAAACCTTTTTTAAAATACCCCTTTATATTGGCTATAGGAAAGAAAAGGGGCCGGTTTTTCTTACCCGGTGCTGGGGGGTGTAAACTGATACGACAAGGTGGAGCAGGTGGGGGTTGTGTTTAAATTGAACTGGTTTGATTTGAGGGGGCCCCGTCCCCGCCTTTTCCCGAACACCCCTTTCCCCCTCCTCCCCCTCACTCTCCCCCCTTTGAAGAAAAGGGAAAACTTTCGTTGATGAACTGGCGAAAAGGGGCCCTTTAAAAGATCCTGGGGGGGCCGCCTTTTCTTTTCCCCCCCCCCCTTCTCAGTGTCGGCTGCTCAGTCAGAAAAAACATTGATAAACAAAATGTCATTTTCAAAACATCCATCTCTACGTTTTCCAAACCCTTTTGGATTTCAGGGGGTGTTACGGCTGCCAAACCTCTTAGTATTACAGTGGGCTGTTACGTCTGCCAAACCCCCTTGGGGTTTTCAGTGGACTGTTACGTCGGGCCAAAAAACCCCTTTAGTATTACAGTGGGTGTTACGTCTGTCCCAAAACCCCTTAGTATTAAAAGTGGACTGTTTCGTTATGGAAAAACCCTTAGTATTAAGTGGCTGTTACGGCTGCCAAACCTCTTAGTATTTTCAGGGGACGTTACGTCTGCAAACCTCTTAGTATTACGTGGAAATGTTAAGTCTGTAAAACCCCTTAGTTTTCAGTGGAATGTTTCGTCTGGCCCAAAACCCCTTTTTGTATTAGGGAATGTTACGTTTGCCAAACCCCCTTGGATCAGTGGACTGTTACGTCTGTCAAAAAACCCCTTTTGGACAGGGAAATGGGAAGTCTGTTTAAAACCTCTTAGTATTACAGTGGGGCTGTTCCCTCTGTCAAACCTTTAGTATTTTCAGTGGGGGTTGGGAAGTTGCCAAAACCTTTTTAGGAATCATGGACTGTTTTGGGCGGGCAAAAACCCCTTGGATTACAGGGCTGTACGTGTCAAAAACCCCTTTTTTATTACAGTGGAGGAAGCTGTCAAACCTTTGTTTTTTACAGTGGGGTGGACGTTGGAAACCTCAGTATTACAGTGGAGTTTCGTCTGTCAAAACCTTTTTAGTATTTTCAGTGGGGCGTTTGTCTTTTCAAAAAACCCCTTTGTAATTTCAGTGGACTGTTACGTTTTGTTAAAACCCCTTTTGTTTTTACAGTGGATGTTTTGTCTGTTTAAACCTCTTTGTATTTCAGTGGGGCTTTTTACGTCGGGCCAAAACCCTTTTGTATTAAAAGTGGAATGTTACGTTGGGCCAAAAACCCCTTAGTATTAAAGTGGATTTACGTCTGTCCCAAAATTTAGTATACAGGGGGCTGTTAGTCTGTAAACCTCTTTGATTACAGTGGGGCTGTTTGTCTGTCAAACCCAATTTTGTAACAGTGGACGTTAAGTTTTGCCAAAAACCCTTGGGTCAGGGACTGTTACGGGCTGTCCAAAACCCCTTAGGATCGTGGGGCCCGTTTCGTTTCAAACCTCTTAGTATTACAGTGGGGGCTGTTAACCCTCTGTTTAAACCTTTAGTATTTTAAATGGACTGTTACTCTGCCAAACCTTTAGGATCAGTGGACTGTTACGTCTGTCAAACTTTTTGGTTTCGTGGACGGTTTTTGTCTGTCAAACCTCTTGTATTTCAGGGACTGTTACGTCTGTCAAACCTCTTTTTATTACAGTGGACTGTTACGTCTGTCCCAAAAACTTGTATTACCCGTGGACTGGGAAACGTCAAAACCCCTTTGTTTTTACAGTGGGGCTGTTAAAGTCTGGGCAAACCTCTTAGTTTAAAAGTGGACGGTTTTCGTCCCGTTTAAACCTCTTTGGATTACAGTGGACTGTTACGTCTGTCAAATTTAGTATTACAGTGGGGCTGTTTCTTGTCAAACCCCCTTAGTATTCAGGGACTGTTCCCTTGTCCCAAAATCTTAAATATTACAGTGGGGCTGTTAATCTGTTCAAACCTTTAGTATTACAGTGGGGCTGGGTTTCGTCTGCCCCAAAACCTTTTGGATCAGTGAAAGTATGGGAAAGGGGAGAGGATTCTACCGTACCCCTACAGAGGATCAGTGAGTATGTAGTGTAGAAAGGGTTTTTACCAGTACCCTACAGTAGGATCAAATGATGTATTTTAGTTTTGAGGATTTTACCAGTACCCTACAGTTTGGGGTCAGTGGGGTGTATGAAATAGGATTTCCAAATACCCCTACAGTGGATCAGTGATGTTGTAGGGTAGTAGGATTTACCGTACCCCCCTACAGTAGGGGGGTCAGTTTATGTATGTTTTGTGGAGTTGGATTTTAAACCCGTAACCCATAGAGGAGGATCAGTGAGGGATGTAAATTTAGAAGGATTCTACCCGTACCCCTACAGTAGGATCAGTGATTTTAGTGTGTAGTAGGGGTTCTACCAGTACCTCTACCCGTTTGGAGCAGTGATGTATTTTAGTGTTTTAGGGGTTCTACCGTAAACCCTTTCAAAAGGACAGTGAGTATGTAGGTAGTAGGTTCTACCAGTACCTTTTACAGTAGGATCAGTGATGTATGTAGGTAGTAGGGTTTAAAAGACCCCTACAGTAGGAAACAGTGATTTTATGTAAATGTGTAGGATTCTAACGTACCTTCTTTCTTTGGTCAGTGTTTTAGTAGTAGGATTTTTTTACCAGTACCTTTACAGTAGGGTTTAGTTTAGTATGTAGTAGGATTCTAAAAGTACCTTAAGTAGGATCAGTGATGTATGTAAGTGGATTCTACCCCCGTACCTTCAGTAGGTCCCGTTTATGTATTTGTAGGATTTACCCGTACCTCTACAGTAGGATCAGTGATTTTATTTGTGTTTTAGTGGATTTACCCGTTTCCTCTACGTAGGGGGTCAGTGAGTAGGGAGTAGGATTTAACAGTACCATACAAATTTTGGTTTTATTTATGGATGTAGTTTTTAGTTTGGGGTTTTTCCAGGCCCCCTTACAGTGGTTTCAGTGATGGATGTAGTGTAGAGGAGTTCCCCGTACCCCAAAAGTTTGGTTTAGGAGGGATGTAGGGTAGTAGGATTTTTACCAGTACCTCTACAGTGGATCAAATGATGTAGGGAGGTTTTAGTAGGATTTTTACCCCGGACCCCCCCACCCGTAGGACAAATGATGTTATGTAGGGGTAGTAGGATTTTTACCAGGACTCTTACAAAAGGATCAGGATGAGGAGGTAGTAGGATTAAAAGTTACCTCTACAGTAGGTTCCGTGATTTTAGGGAGTTTTTAGAGGGTTCTACCCGTACCTTTTCAGGAGGATCAGTGATTTTTATGTAGTGGATAGGGATTCTACCCGGGACCTCTCAGTGGTTTTAGTTTAGGGATGTAGGGTAGTAGGAAATTTCCCCACCAGTTACCCCTACAGGAGGAAAAGTGATTTGGAAAGTAGGGGTAGTGGATTCTACCAGGACCTCACAGTAGGGTCAGGAGGTATTTTAGTTTTAGTGGATTTACCCAGTACCCCCTACAGGGGGAGGATCAGTGTGATTAGTAGGGGTTTACCAAATACCTCTACAGAGGGGTTTAGTGAGATTTTAGTTGTAGAGGATTTACCAGAACCCCTACAGTGGTTCCCGGGTGTTTGTAGGTAGAGGATTTTACCAAGGGACCTTCCCGTAGGATCAGGTTGTATTTTAGTGTGTAGGAAATTTCCATACCTCTAAATTTTGGGTTTAAAGGGTTTTTATTTTAGTTTTAGTAGGATTTACCAGTACCCTACAGGAGGTCATGTGATTTTATGGGAGTGTAGTAGGTTCTACCAGGTTTTTCAGTGGATTTAAGGGATGTAGTTTGTTTGTAGGATTCTAACCCTTTAAAATACCTTAAGTAGGATTTAGTGATTTTAGTAGTTTTAGGGAGGATTCTAAAGTACCTCTACAGTAGGATCAGTGATGTTTTAGTTTTTGTAGGATTCTAAAAGTACCTCTACGTAGGGGTCAGTGCGGGATGTAGTTTTAGGGAGGATTTTTACCCGTACCTTACAAATTTGGATCAGGATGAGTAGCGGAGTTTGGATTTACCCGGACCTCTACGTAGGTTTAGTGATGAGGGAGTGTAGTAGGATTTAACCCCGGGGACCTTAAGTAGGATCGGGATGTATGTAGGGTTTTGTAGGATTTTACCCGTAAACCCCCACAGTAGGATAAATGATGTATGTAGTGTAGTTTGGGGTTCTACCGTACCTCTACGTTTGGATCAGTTTTATGTAGGGAGTGTAGAGGATTCTACCAGTACCTTTCCCCAGTAGGGGTCAGTGATGTATGTTGTGTAGTAGGTTTTTACCAGTACCCCAAAAGAGGATCAGTGAGTATTAGTGTAGTAGGATTTTCCAGTTTCCTCCACAGTAGGATCCTTTTGTATGTAGTGAGTTAGGATTCTACCAGTTTCCTCCACAGTAGGATTTAGTTTATTTTATGTTTGGTAGGTAGGATTCTACCAGTACCTCTACAGTTAGGATCAGTGATGTATGTTAGTGTAGTAGGATTCTACCAGTACCTCTACAGTAGGATCAGTGATGTATGTAGTGTAGAGGATTCTACCAGTACCTCTACAGTAGGATCAGTGATGTATGTAGTGTAGTAGGATTCTACCAGTACCTCTACAGTAGGATCAGTTGTAGGGCCCATCAGTAGTTAGAGTTGTCTGGTCCTGACCCAGACGGCTTCAATTCGAGCCACACTGAGGAACTCACTGAGAGGATCCTTCTCCTTCCTCTCCTTCTCCAAAGCCCCAGCCTGGCCAGACACATCCCACCTGGACCTCTTCCCTGGCTCAGAGGGCTTCACAGCTACACAGAGAGAGACGGAGAGACTCAGGGCCAGGTTTACTAAGCAGTGTGTGATGTCATGTGATGTCTTCACTAGGACTCTGAAGACTAATGGAATAAGAGCTCTGTGTATTTTTTTTCAACCCTTCAAACCTAAGCCAGTCAAATAACTACTTCCTGACCACATGCTTTCTATTCAGAAAGAACTTGAAGTGCCAATGAATGATAATGACTTTAAAATCAGCCTTCGAGAGGTAAAGGCAGAGCGTGAAACAGCAGATCCTTTTACTGTAGCCATGAAGTGCTTTGAAAGACTGGTCATGGCTCACATCAACAGCATATCCCAGAAACCCTAGACCCCACTCCAATTTGCATTACCGCCCCCAACAGATCCACAGATTATGCAATCTCTATCGCACTCCACACTGCCCTTCCCACCTGGACAAGAGGAACACCCTACGTGAGAATGCTATTCATTGACTACAGCTCAGCATTCAACACCATAGTGCCCTCTAAGCTCATCACTAAGCTAAGGATCCTGGGACTAAACACCTCCCTCTGCAACTGGATCCTGGACTTCCTGACGGGCCGCCCCCCAGGTGGTAAGGGTAGGGTAACAACACATCTGCCACACTGATCCTCAACACGGGGGCCCCTCAGGGGTGCGTGCTCAGTCCCCTCCTGTACTCTCTGTTCACCCATGACTGCATGGCCAGGCACGACTCCAACACCATCATTAAGTTTGCCGACGACACAACAGTGGTAGGCCTGATCACCGACAACGATTGAGACAGCCTATAGGGAGGAGGTCAGAGATCTGGCCGTGTGGTGCCAGGACAACAACCTCTCCCTCAACGTGACCAAGACAAAGGAGATGATTGTGGACTACAGGAAAAAAAAGAGGACTGAGCATGCCCCCATTCTCATCGACGGGGCTGTAGTGGAACAGGTTGAGAGCTTCAAGTTCCTTGGTGTCCACATCACCAACGAACTATCATGGTCCAAACACACCAAGACAGTCGTGAAGAGGGCACGACAAAGCCTATTCCCCCTCAGGAGACTAAAAAGATTTGGCATGGGTCCTCAGATCCTCAAAAAATTCTACAGCTGCACCATCGAGAGCATCCCTGACTGGTTGCATCACCGCCTGGTATGGCAACTGCTTGGCCTCTGACCGCAAGGCATACAGAGGGTAGTTGCGTACGGCCCAGTACATCACTGGGGCCAAGCTTCCTGCATCCAGGACCTCTATACCAGGCGGGTTGTCAGAGGAAGGCCCTCAAAAATTGTCAAAGACTCCAGCCACCCTAGTCATAGACTGTTCTCTCTGCTACCGCACGGCAAGCGGTACCGGAGTGCCAAGTCTAGGTCCAAAAGACTTCTCAACAGCTTCTACCCCCAAGCCATAGACTCCTGAACAGCTAATCATGGCTACCAGGACTATTTGCACTGCCCCCCCACCCCATCCTTTTTACGCTGCTGCTACTCTGTTAAGTATTTATGCATAGTCACTTAACTCTACCCACATGTACATATTACCTCAACTACCTCAACTAGCCGGTGCCCCCGCACATGACTCTGCAACGGTACCCCCCTGTATATATAGCCTCCCTACTGTCACTTTATTTTTACTTCTGCTCTTTTTTTCCTCAACACTTTTTTTGTTGCTGTTTTATTCTTACTTTTTTGTTTAAAATAAATGCACTGTTGGTTAAGGGCTGTAAGTAAGCATTTCACTGTAATGTCTGCACCTGTTGTATTCGGCGCATGTGACCAATAAAATTTGATTTGATTTGATCATGTCATTTAAAGAGCACAAGCTTCACTCATCCACACAATAGGATAAAACAGAAGCCTTCGAAAGTCACTTTAAAATCAGATCAAATGAACTGGGTTGGTAGAGGCTCTGATATCTGTGTCTGGATAAAGTGGAACTGATTGTTTGTTACCTTGTGGAGCGGGGGAAGCACTAGCTGTTGGACTCTCTGATACAGTCAGGAAGTTAAAGACAGAGAACTTGTCTCTCTTCACTTTGGGCATTCCCACGAACCCTGACCTGGATAGACAACAACAACAACAGTTAGAGCCCAATGCCATGACACACAAGCAGTACCCATTGAGTATTAGTATTCCTAGTACCATTCGTTCCATGGTGATCAAGTGTGTACAGTACAAGTCAAAAGCTTGGACACACCTACTCCAAGGGTTTTTCTTTATTTTTAACTATTTTCTACATTGTAGAATAATAGTGAAGACATCAAAACTATGAAATAACACATATGGAATCATGTAGTAACCAAAAAAAGTGTTAAACAAATCAAAATATATTTTATATTTGAGATTTTTCAAAATAGCCACCCTTTGCCTTGATGACAGCTTTGCACACTCTTGGCATTCTCTCAACCAGTTTCATGAGGTAGTCACCTGGAATGCATTTCAATTAACATGTGTGTCTTGTTCAAAGTTAATTTGTGGAATTTCTTTCCCTCTTAAATGTGTTTGAGCCAATCAGTTGTGTTGTGACAAGGTAGGGGGGGTATACAGAAGATAGCCCTATTTAGTAAAATACCAAGTCCATATTATGGCAAGAACAGCTCAAATAAGCAAAGAAAGATGACAGTCCATCATTACTTCAAGACATGAAGGTCAGTCAATCTGGAACATTTCAAGAACTTTGAACGTTTTTTCAAGTGCAGTCGCAAAAACCATCAAGCGCTGATAAAGAAACTGGCTCTCATGAGGACCGCCACAGGAATGGAAGACCCAGAGTTACCTCTGCTGCACAGGATAAGTTCAATAGAGTTACCAGCCTCAGAAATTGCAGCCCAAATAAATGCTTCACAGAGTTCAAGTCACAGACACATCTCAACATCAACTGTTCAGAGGAGACTGCGTGAATCAGGCCTTCATGGTCGAATTGCTGCAAAGAATCCACTACTAAAGGACATCAATAAGAAGAAGAGACTTGCTTGGGCCAAGAAACACGAGCAATGGACATTAGACCGGTGGAAATGTGTCCTTTGGTCTGATGAGTCCAAATTTCAGATTTTTTGTTCCAACCGCCGTGTCTTTGTAAGACGCAGAGTCGGTGAATGGATGATCTCCGCATGTGTGGTTCCCACCGTAAAGCATGGAGGAGGAGGTGTTATGGTGTGGGGGTGCTTTGCTGGTGACACTGTCTGTGATTTATTTAGAATTCAAGGCACACTTAACCAGAATGGCTACCACAGCATTATGCAGCGATACGTCATCCCATCTGGTTTGGGCTTAGTGGGACTATCATTTGTTTTTCAACAGGACAATGACCCAACACACCTCCAGGCTGTGTAAGGGCTATTTGACCAAGAAGGAGAGTGATGGAGTGCTGCATCAGATGACCTGGCCTCCACAATCCCCCAACCTCAACCCAATTGAGATGGTTTGGGATGAGTCGGACCGCAGAGTGAAGGAAAAGCAGCCAACAAGTGCTCAGCATATGTGGGAACTCCTTCAAAACTGTTGGAAAAGCATTCCAGGTGAAGCTGGTTGAGAGAATGCCAAGAGTGTACAAAGCTGTCATCAAGGCAAAAGGTGGCTATTTGAAGAATCTAAAATATATTTTGATTTGTTGAACACTTTTTTGGTTACTACATGATTCCATGTGTGTTATTTCATAGTTTTGATGTCTTCACTATTATTCTACAATGTAGAAAATAAGTCAAAATAAAGAAAAAACCCTTGAATGAGTAGGTGTGTCCAAACTTTTGACTGGTACTGTATGTCTATTCTGTGGGTGTACGTGTGTCTATTCTGTGTTCGTGTGTCGTTTCTGCATATTCTCTGTGTGTGTGTGTATGTGAGTGTGTGTGTCGTACCCAGGGTAGGGGTCAGGTACATTGAACCTCTTGCAGAGCAGTTTGTCAGGGTGCCATTCGAACGAGTCTCTGGTCAGTTTCCCAAACATCTTCATCTTCACAGCTGCCTGCTTGTCATCCACATCATTCTGAAGACCAAAAGGCAGTACAGAGTATCAACCCACTGAGCCTCATCACAGCTGCCTGCTTGTCATCCACATCATTCTGAAGACAAAAAGGCAGTACAGAGTATCAACCCACTGAGCCTCATCACAGCTGCCTGCTTGTCATCCCACATCATTCTGAAGACCAAAAAGGCAGTACAGAGTATCAACCCACTGAGCCTCATGCCCAATCCTGGACCCATAGCCTGTAACCCAAATGCACTTGTGTAGATCTGAAAAGACTTGAAGATAGATAGATATAAAAAATGGTAATAGCTGTAATAATCTAGTTGGCATTTTGAGCATTATAGCTCGCACCCATTTTACATTTTAGTCCTTTAGCAGACACTCTTATCCAGAGCGACTTAGCGGAAGGAATTAGGGTTAAGTGCCTTGCTCAAGGGCACATTACATTTTTTTTTTTTTTTTTTATCTAGTCGGCTCAGGGATTCGAACAAGCAGCCTTTGGATTACTGGCCCAACGCTCCTGCCACCCAGCCGATTCTTTCATATCTACAAAACTGCTCAGGGGGGTAGGGGCTAGGTGACCGTCTAGAATACAGTGTCCATCCAAATTGAAGAGTATGGAAAAGGTCATAGGGAGAGTTTGGTTCCCCGCTGGCGATCATGATGATAAAAAGATTAGACATGAAGGCTGGGGTTCATAGAGATTTACACTAGACATAGAATAGCAATCGGACCACATGAGGACCATAAAGGCTGGGGTCATAGATAGACAATAGAAGCAATGTAGACCACAATGAGACCATAAAGGGGGGATGGGTCATAGATAGACATATAAGCAATAGACCACAATGAGACCATTAAAGGATGGGTCATAGAGACATATAGGGCGCAAATAGACACAATGAGAACATAAAGGCTGGGTCATAGATAGACATATAGCAATAGACCACATGAGACCATAAAGGCTGGGTCATAGAAGACCATATAGCAATAGAACACAATGAGACCATAAAGGCGGGGTCATAGATAGACATATAGCATAGTCCACACTGAGACCATAACGGCTTGGTATAGATAGACATCATAGTCGAATTAGGCATAGACCACAATGAGACCATAAAGGCTGTGGTCAATAGATCGACATATAGCAATAGACCACAATGATGACCATAAAGGCTGGGTCATAGTAGACATTATAGCAATAGACCACAATGAGACCATAAAGGCTGGGTCATAGATAGACATATAGCATAGAACCACAATGAGACCCATAAAGGCTGGGTCATAGAAGAATATAGCAATAGACCACAATGAGACCATAAAGGCTGGGTCATAGATAGACACTATAGCAATAGACCACAATGAGACCATAAAGGCTGGGTCATAGATAGACATATAGCAATAGACCACAATGAGACCATAAAGGCTGGGTCATAGATAGACATATAGCAATAGACCACAATGAGACCATAAAGGCTGGGTCATAGATAGACATATAGCAATAGACCACAATGAGACCATAAAGGCTGGGTCATAGATGACATATAGCAATATAGACACAATGAGACCATAAAGGCTGGGTCATAGATAGACATATAGCAATAGACCACAATGAGACCATAAAGGCTGGGTCATAGATAGACATAGAATAGCAATAGACCACAATGAGACCATAAAGGCTGGGTCATAGATAGACATAGAATAGCAATAGACCACAATGAGACCATGAAGGCTGGGTCATAGATAGACATATAGCAATAGGCCACAATGAGACCATAAAGGCTGGGTCATAGATAGACATATAGCAATAGGCCACAATGAGACCATAAAGGCTGGGTCATAGATAGACATATAGCAACTAGACCACAATGAGACATAAAGGCTGGTCATAGATAGACATAGAATAGCAATAGACCACAATGAGACCATAAGGCTGGGTCATAGATAGACATAGAATAGCAATAGACCACAATGAGACCATAAAGGCTGGGTCATAGATAGACATAGAATAGCAATAGGCCACAATGAGACCATGAAGGCTGGGTCATAGATAGACATATAGCAATAGACCACAATTATTTGGCATTCTTAACGCGGGGCGTCGTCCTCCGTAGCTCAGCTGGTAGAGCACGGCGCCTCGTAACGCCGGGGTAGTGGGTTCGATCCCCGGGACCACCCATACATAAAAATGTATGCACACATGACTGTAAGTCTCTTTGGATAAAAGCGTCTGCTAAATGGCATATTATTATTATTATTATATAGAAATATGCCTGTGTGTGTTTTGTTGTAAGCTCAAGTGGACAGTGAGCAGTGATGTCCAACTGACCCTCAAAACCCCCAATACTTTCTCTGACTGTTATCATAGAATATGTTGAATTTGATTACTGTAACCAATTATTGGCAAGGCACATTATGACGCAAAACCAAGCTATTAACAGAGATGAACGAGGAAGTAAGGCTTTAAGATAATGTGCTTGAGATCTGTACCAAGAGATTTCTCCCGGGCGCCCGGTCATGTCTGCTTGCTTCCACCCGTAACGTCCCTGCTCATCTCTGTCAACAAAACATCTCATTCTCTGGAAGACATCCTGATCCCCCCCACCAATCCTTCAACATTATGGTGAAGCTCCCTACCTCCTGATCTCGCGTCACCTCCACAGGTGTCTGCCTCCACGGCGTCATCATGTTTCCCTCTGGTGTGAAGCGAACAGGACAGAGAGGAGCTGCTGGGATTGTAGAGGAGAGCCGCTCGGACAAACTCATCCCTCTCTCTCCCTTCTCTCCCACTCTGTCATGGCGGGGTCCAAGCTCAACTCCAGGGCATCTGGACACAGAGTTGGTGGGAACACGGTGAGATTCGTGATGATTAAAACCGTCATTGGAATCTTAGTGGATAATGCAAGTTTGAGAGGAATGCCCTAAAGCAAAACACATGTGGCTGATTCTTCAGACAAGTATTAAAAGGCTCTCCATTTCTGTGTTCTACATGAAAAGTATGTGGTTGTATTATCTTAATAGACCATAATAAACATTAAAAATACCATTTTGTCATTGTCAAGCAACTTGTCTTTATTTAAATGTCAGTACCTTAAAAAGCAGTTCTCTGTACCTCGGTCTCCCTGTTTGAGCTTGTCTATGTAGAGGTCGTAGCGGGCCTGTTTATGAGCGGTCCTCTCAAAGGGTTTGAAGGTCTGTCCTGTCTGTGCCTGGGCTGCAGGTCCACTCCACACACTCAGAGCTTCCTGCTGCTGCTCTGCTGGGGGTGCAAACCTGGATGGATGAATTCAACTGAGACTCAGTCATATGACGTTGCCAGAGCAGCAGGCGATAATGTAGGTGAGACCCCGCGATTACAAGACGTTGCCAGGAAGCAGCAGGATATTGTAGGTGAGAGCGATACAAGACGTTGCCAGGAGCAGCAGGATATTGTAGGTGAGAGCGATACAAGACGTTGCCAGGAGCAGCAGGACTATTGTAGGTGAGAGCATTACAAGACGTTGCACAAAACAAAAAAATCAGTGGCATGTTCAGGGTGTTCTTCACACTGCTACAACGTGATAGCTGCTACAACGTGATATCTGCTACAACGTGATAGCTGCTACAACGTGATAGCTGCTACAACGTGGATAGCTGTCTACAACGTGGGATAGCTGCGACAACGTGATAGCTGCTGCAACGTGATATCTGCTGCAACGTGATAGCTGCTACAACGTGATAGCTGCTACAACGTGATATCTGCTACAACGTGATAGCTGCTACAACGTGATAGCTGCTACAACGTGATATCTGCTACAACGTGATAGCTGCTACAACGTGATATCTGCAGGACAACAACAGCAGAAAAGATGCAACGTGGAGTACCTGGATACAGCCCTTAGCCGTGGTATATTGGCCATATATCCCAAACCCCCGAGGTGCCTTATTGCTATTATAAACTGGTTACCAACATAATTAGAACAGTAAAAATAAATGGTTTTGTCATACCCATGGTATACCACGGCTGTCAGACAATCAGCATTCGGGGTTCGAACCACCCAGTTTATAATACACTATATAGAACACTGGACTACAATACATTACAAGATATACAGTGGGGGAAAAAAGTATTTAGTCAGCCACCAATTGTGCAAGTTCTCCCACTTAAAAAGATGAGAGAGGCCTGTAATTTTCATCATAGGTACACGTCAACTATGACAGACAAAATGAGAAAAATAAATCCAGAAAATCACATTTTGTAGGATTTTTAATTAATTTATTTGCAAATTATGGTGGAAAATAAGTATTTGGTCAATAACAAAAGTTTCTCAATACTTTGTTATATACCCTTTGTTGGCAATGACACAGGTCAAACGTTTTCTGTAAGTCTTCACAAGGTTTTCACACACTGTTGCTGGTATTTTGGCCCATTCCTCCATGCAGATCTCCTCTAGAGCAGTGATGTTTTGGGGCTGTCGGTGGGCAACACAGACTTTCAACTCCCTCCAAAGATTTTCTTGGGGGTTGATATCTTAATTTGCAAATAAATTCATTAAAAATCCTACAAAATGTGATTTTCTGGATTTATTTTTCTCACTTCGTCTGTCATAGTTGACGTGTACCTATGATGAAAAATACAGGCCTCTCTCATCTTTTTAAGTGGGAGAACTTGCACAATTGGTGGCTGACTAAATACTTTTTTCCCCCACTGTAGAACACTGGACTACAATACATTTCAAGATATAGAACACTGGTCTCCAATACAACACATATCCCAGGAGACTTCAGACATGGTCAGACAGACAGACATATATAGGTGTACCTGCTAGACAGGGCCTTCTGGGCGGAGGCTTTGGCTGCTGCAGCTGCTACCCCTGCAGCCACCACAGCTGCTCTGCCCTCCCCAGGGATGGGCTGTCTGGGTGGGAGCTCAGTGGGGGGTCTGGGTCCTGAGGTGGTATCTGAGGAGGGCCTCCGTAGGCTGGAGAGTCTCTCTCTGTCCTCAACCTTCAGCAGGTCAAACACAGAGCTGGGGCCTGGAGGGAGGAAGACAGCGTGGAGACAGAGAGGAGGACAGGGAGGAGGACAGGGAGGACAGGGAGGAGGACAGGGCATGGAGGAGGACAGGGCAGGGAGGAGGACAGGGGCAGGGAGGAGGACAGGGCAGGGAGGAGGACAGGGCAGGGAGGAGGACAGGGCAGGGAGGAGGAACAGGGCAAGGGAGGAGGACAGGGCAGGAGGAGGACAGGGCAGGGAGGAGGACAGGTCAGAGAGGAGGACAGGTCAGAGAGGAGGACAGGTCAGAGAGGAGGACAGGGATAGAGACTAGGTTTTAGAGACAAAAAACATCACCATTGATACAGAGGAGATACCCCAAATATCCTTGACTTTCAAATCCAGGTAGGTCTTCAATGTTCAAACACTGGTAGCGGACAGGGAGAAAGACCGGGTGAGCAGTTAGGACTACAAGAGTGGGATAGACATAGCACCATGGTTGATAAAGACAAGATGTCCACCAGCAATACAACATCCTTGTTGTGTCAAGGGGTTGGCGACCAATCCAGAGAATAGCCTGTACCCTGCAGTGCCGTCTCCCCCAGCAGCTCCCTCTTCTGGGAAGAGTCCAGCTGGTGGCGTCCTCCCTTAGAGGGCTCTTCCTGGGCCATGTGTTAATGGGACGCTACAGCGGGGGCATGGGTGGCGTCCTCCCTTAGAGGGCGCTTCCTGGGCCATGTTTGTCCTCGGACTCAGCAGGGCCTGGGTGGCGTCCTCCCCTTAGAGGCTCGTCCTGGGCCATGTGTCCTCGGGACGTCAGCGGGGCCTAGGGTGGAGTCCTCCCTTAGAGGGCTCTTTCAGGGGCCATGTTGTCCTCGGGACGTCAGCAGGGCCGGGGCGGTCCTCCCTTAGAGGGCTCTTCCTGGGCCATGTGTTCCTCTGGAAGTCAGCAGGGCCTGGGATACCATGGGGCTGACGCTGGACATGTCACCCACGGACGGAGTAGGACGGACTGAAGTCTTGGGCAGGTCGGGCGGAGGGAAGATCTGAGGAGGGAGGAGAGATGAGGGGAGAGAGAGAGGAGAGATGAGGATAGGATGGAGCGAAGGGGAGGGTAGAGGAGGAGAGAGATGAGAGAGAGAGAGAGAGATGCGAGACGAAGCGCGAGAGGAGGAGAGGAGCGAGGGGGTGGTGAGAGTAGACGAGAGAGAGAGAGAGAAAAAGGGGGTAGAGAGAGAAAGGCCAGGGGATGGAGGCGATTAATTCTGAGGAATGATGAATGAGAGCATTCAGTTGAAAACTAGGCTAAAGAAGGCACCTACTGTTTTGGTCTCTATATGTCGGAGCCAGGGTGAATCCTTTCTAGTATTTTACCACGATAAGCAGCGTCTTTACTGTGGACTGAAAGAAAAAAAGTCATTTAACGCATTAGATAGAAAATATTCCCAGGTGATCTTCATTGATGTGATTAATTTTGGTCATGGGCCAGGACTTGTTCCCACTAAATGAAAGAGGCACAGAGAGAGAGAAGCGAGCCCTTACACATATACCCCAAACAAGTGTATTGCACCAGAACTTTTCCATAGTGCAGGAAGGACAAACAAATCGCGGGCCTGGAGATTCTCTAGTGGAAGAGGCTTTTTAGTCCAGGAAAGGTTTAATTGTTGTCTGGGAAACTGGGCTCAGTCTATTCATCCCTGTCAACTCAGTGGGCTCACCTTCTTCTCTGTTGTACTGTTGGGGGGCGGCCATCCGTAAAGGAAGTCACCAGGGCTCCTCCCCTCCCAGCACGGCGTAGTTAGGACATGGTTGTCTTGTGGTGATGTCCTCATCATCATCTCCATGCACCCACACCAAACACCCTGGGGGGGTCAAAAGGGATCAAGGCAAAGCACAAGCCAAATATCCAGAGCACCCTCTGCCACTAGTAACAAAACAACAAAAAACAATCAAGAGAGCTGACAACAGTCAGGACAGTGTTTTCCTACTATTAAAGCTAAAACAGTAGCAGTGTTTTCCCTACGATTAGAGCTGCAACAGTCAGGACAGTGTGTTCCACCTACTCTTAGAGGCTGACAACAGTCAGACAGTGTTTTCGCTACTATAGAGTGACACAACAGTCAGCCAGTGTTTTCCCTACTATTAGAGCTGACAACAGTCAGACAGTGTTTTCCGTACGATTAGAGCTGAAAACAGTCAGACAGTGTTTTCGTACTATTAGAGCTGACACAACCGTAGACAGTGTTTTCACTACTATTAGAGCTGAAAACAGTCGGACAGTGTTTTCCCTACTATTAGAGCTTGACAACAGTAGCAGTGTCTTCCCTACGATAAAAAGCTGACAACAGGTCAGACAGTGTTTCCCACTATTAGAGCTGCACAACAGTCAGACAGTTGTGTTCCCTACTAGTAAAGCTGACAGTCAGACAGTGTTTTCCCTAATATTAGAGCTGAACAACAGCAGACAGTGTTTTTCCTACTATTAGAAGCTGACAACAGACTGACAGTGTTTGCCCTTACCTATTAGAGCGACGCAACAGTCAGACAGTGTTTTCCCTATATTAGAAGCTGACAAAACAGTCAGACAGTGTTTTCCCTACGATTAGAGCTGACAACAGTCAGAAAGTGTTTTCCCGACTATTAGAGTAAAACAGTAAGCCAGTTGTTTTCCCTTACTATTAGAGCTGACAAAACAGTCAGACAGGTTTCCCTATAGTAGAGCTGACAACAGTAAGACAGTTGTTTCCTACTAAGTAGAGCTGACAAACAGTCAGACAGTGTTCCCCTACTATTAGAGGCTGCCAACAGTTCAGGACAGTGTTTTCCCTACTATTAGAGAGACGCACAGTCAGACAGTGTTTTCCTCTATTAGAGCTGACAACAGTCAGACAGTGTTTTCCCTACTATAGAAGCTGACAACAGTCAGACAGTGTTTCCCTACTTTAGACTGACACAACCAGTCAGACAGGTTTTACCTCACTATTTAGAGCTGACAACAGCAGACAGTGTTTTCCCTCTATTGAGCTGACCAAACAGTTCAGACAGTGTTTCCCTACTATTAGAGCTTGGACAACAGTCAGGACAGTGTTTTCCCTACATTAGAGTGACCAACAGTCAGGACAGTGTTTTCCCTACTATTGAGCTGACAACAGTAGTGTTTCCCCTACTATTAGGACTGAACAAACAGTCAGACAGGTTTCCTACTATTAGAGCTGAACCAACAGTCAGACAGTGTTTTCCCTACTATGAAGCTGAACAACAGTTCAGACAGGGTGTTCCCCTATATTAGAAGCGCAACAGTCAGACAGTGTTCCCACTATGAGCTGACAACAGCAGCCAGTGTTTTTCCCTATATTAGAGCTGACAACAGTCCGACAAGTGTTTTCCCTACTATTAGAGCGACAACAGTAGACAGGGTTTTCCCTAAATTAGGCTGACACCAGTCAGACGTGTTTCCCCACTATTAGGCTGACACGTCAGACATTTTGTGTTCCCTACTATTAGAGCTGACAACAGTCAGTGTTTCCCTAGATTAGATCATACAAACAGTCAGACGTGGTTTTTCCCTACTATAGAGTGAAAACCAGTCAGACAGGGTTTTCCTTATATTAGAGATGACAACAGTTAAGGGACAGGTTTCCCTAAATTAGAGCTGACAACGTCAGACGTGTTTCCCCTAACATTAGAGCTGAAACAGTCAGACAGTGTTCCCTACTATTAGAGCGGACAACAGTCAGACAGGTTTTCCCTGACTATTAGAGCTGACGCAAACAGTCAGGACGTGTTTTCCCTACCGAGTAGAGCTGACAACAGTCAGACAGTGTTTTCCCTACTAGTAGAGCTGACAACATGTCAGACAGGTTTCCCTACTATTTAGAGGCTGACAACAGTCAGACAGTGTTTCCTACTATTATTAGAGTGCTGACAACAGTAGACAGGGTTCCGACATTCGAGATGAACAACAGTCAGACAGTGTTCCCCCTATGTAGAGCTGACAACAGTCAGCCAGATGTTTTCCCTTTTACTATTAGAGCTGACAACAGTCAGACAGGGTTTTACCTACTATTAGAGCTGACGAACAGTCAGACCATGTGTCCCTACAGTCGAGCTGACAACAGTCAGACAGTTGTTTCCTCTACTTAGAGCTGACAACAGCTTCAGACGGGTTTTCCTCCTATTAGAGCTTGACAACAGTCAGGACAGTGTTTTTCCCTACTAGTAGAGTGACGCAACAGTCAGGGACAGTGTTTTCCGTTACTATTAAGCTGACAACAGTCGACAGTGTTTTCCGTTACTATTAGAGCTGACACACGTAGAACAGTTGTTTTCACTACTAGTAGAGTGACAACAGTCAGCAGGTTTTCCTACTATTAGAGCTGACAACAGTCAGACAGGTTTTCCCTACTATTAGAGCTGACAACAGTTCAGACAGTGGTCCCTACTATTAGAGCTGACAACAGTCAGAAGTGTTTTCCCTACTATGAAAGCTGACAAACAGTCAGACAGTTTTCCTACTATTACGAGCTGGACAACAGCCAGGAGACAGTGTTTTCCTACTAGTAGAGCTGACAACAGCCCTGACAGTTTTTTCCCTAAATAGAGCTGACGCAACAGTTCCAGACAGTGTTTTCCCTACTATTTCGAGCTGACAACAGTCAGACAGTGTTTTCGACATACTATTAGAGCTGACAACAGTCAGACAGTTGTGTCCTACATTAGAGCGGAAAACAGTCAGCCAGTGTTTTCCCTACTATTAGACGGCTGACAAACAGTCGACAGTTGTTTTCCTTACTATAGAGCTGACAACGTCAGGACAGTGTTTTCCCTACTATAGAGAGGACAAACAGTCAGACAAGTGTTGCCCCTTACTATTAGAGCTGAAAACAGTCAGACAGTGTTTCCCTACTATTAGAGCTGACAACAGGCGACAGTGTTTTCCCTACTTTAGAGCATGACGCAAAGTCAGACAGTGTTCCCTACTATTAGAGCTGACAAACAGTCAGACAGGTTTCCCTACTATTAGAGCTGACAACAGTCAGACAGTGTTTTCTCCTACTATTAGAGCTGACACAACAGCAGACAGTGTTTTCCCGTACTATAGAGCTGACAACAGTCAGACAGTGTTTTCCCTACTATGTAGAGTGACAACGCAGACGTGTTGTCCCTACTATTAGAGCTGCAACAGGCAGGCCAGTGTTTTCCCTACTATTAGAGCTACACCAGTCAGGGACAGTGGTTCCCTACTATTAGAGCTGACAAAACAGTCAGTTGTCCATACTATTAGAGCTGACAACAGCACTGACAGTGTTTTCCCTAATTTAGAGATGAAAACAGTCAGAACAGTGTTTTTCCGTTTACTTCTAGAGCTGACAACAGTCAGACAGGTTTTCCGACTATAGAGCTGACACAAACAGTCAGGACAGTGTGTTCCCTAATATTAGAGCTGGACAACAGCAGACAGTGTTTTCCCTACTGATAGAGTGACAACAGTCAGACAGTGTTTTCCCTACTATACACAGAGCTGACAACGTCAGACAGTGTTTCCCTACTATTAGAGCTGAACACAACAGTCAGCAGTGTTTTCCCTAATATAGAGCTGACAACAGTCAGACAGTGTTTCCCTCCTTTAGAGCTGACAACAGTCAAGACAGTGTTTTCCCTTACTTTAGAGCTGAAAACAGTAAGACAGTGTTTTCCCTACATAGAGATGACAACCGTCAGACAGTGTTTCCTACTATTAGAGCTGACACAACAGTCAGACAGTTTGTTTCCCTATATTAGAGCTGACACAACGTTCAGACAGGGTTTCCCTACTATTAGGAGCGACAACAGGTCAGACAGGTTTTCCTACATTAGAGCGACAAACAGTCAGACAGTGTTTCCCTCTA